GAATTACAGTAAATTGCAATTAAAATCAACACTTTTATTATGTAAGACGTATTGGATTTCATTTTAAGTCACATTAAAACTTTTGTATAAAAAATGAAATAAATATTTAGATTAATAGCGAAATGAAGTGATGAGGAGTTGGTGTGAAACTCATCTCTCAATCAATTGCCGATTCATAACAGAAAGCCTTGAATTTCCTGTGTATGAGAAACTTATCACGAAATAAATTCAGTTTTTTTTATCAATGAAACAAATGTTTTAATTTATTTAGACTTTTATGTTATCTATTTTCTCATTATAAATATATCATTTAAAATATGACTAAAATAGATATATTAAAAAGCATGATTAAAAATCCAAGCAACCAAACGTGTAGACAATGTTCAACCAAACAGTGTCCGCATATCTAAGGAGAGGTCCAATGCCATCGAAGCCATTGCGGGAATAACTAAAGGCATGATTTGCGATGAAAACTGGAAAGCAGTTCACTTCAATAAAATAATAAATGAGACATAATTAAAGATTTACCATCATGGGACAAATAAATGATTGTGACTCTAAATTTTACCATAATAATGTTATCTTCTTTTAGGAGCAAGTGATCCAATTTGTCAATATATTAGTTGAGAAAAAACTCCTTTTTGAACAAATATTGAAATAGCAAAGAGATTTCAGCATTTGTAAATTATATTTATTTGTCAAAGTAATTGTATTATTTAAAATACATATTTGTCAAAAAATACATAATAATTATTGCCTTTAAAAAACTATAAAATTTATATTTAAAAGAGTTGCGCATAGATTACTAAAAATCGCACTATTAATAGTTGTTTAGTCCAATTTGATGACAACCTAATAATAAATAAATAAAAACATTTAATACAATATTTAATGAATAAATAAAAGTGTGAATGTAATACCGATTTCACTTCTAAGTACTCGTGAAGTGATTCCTCTCCGCACTCGCGGCCAATGCCTGACTGTTTGTAACCACCGAAAGGCGCCTGAAGTTTGAATGCAAAGTACGTATTGATCCAAACATTGCCCGCCTCTAAGTCTTTGGTCAGTTTGAGGGCTCGGTTCACATCCTTAGTGAAGGCACCGGCGGCTAAACCATAGGTCGTATTGTTAGCCCTTTCTATCACTTCATCCAAAGTCTTAAACTTGAGGATAGACTGGACGGGACCGAAGATCTCCTCCTTCGCGATCGTCATGTCGTCCGTCACGTCAGCAAAACTAAATACACATATTTTAAATAAATAAATTAAATTCAATTTAAATTAGTTCAAAAACTAATTACACGGTGGGCTCAACAAATGCCCCCTCAGTTCCCCAACGGTGTCCGCCGGCCAATAGTTTTGCCCCTTCTTTACGACCGATATCTATATATTTGAGGATTCGTTGCATTTGGTTGTCATCTATTTGTGGTCCCTGTTGTGTCTTCTCTGCAAACGGATCGCCCAATAATTACA